CTTCAAGTGGCCATTCTTTCCACAGTGGTAGCACTTTAAATTATTTTTTCTTCTAGACTTCGATCTACCATGTTTGTGACTACTGCTTTGGCCACATTCTGTTGATCTCCCTCTCATCATTGTCAACGTTTCTTCTTGTTGCAGATTTACTTGTATGTCTTCCTTGTTCTTGCGCCGATTTTCTTCTTGTAGAACAGCAGCTGCAACGTCATCGAAGACTAGACTGGTGACATTACTGTTTGTCAAGTTAATGATGAGTTGATCATATGAATCCGGTAAACTTTGAAGTAGAAGTTCAGCACGTTATTGTTCTTCTATTTTATAGCTTAAGGATGTAAGCTGAGAAAATAAAGTGTTTAGTGTATTTAAGTGCTCCGTCACTGAAGTAGATTCTAGCATACGGAGAGTATACAATTTTCTCTTAAGGAAAATTTTATTGTGCAACGATGTGGCCACGTACAATTTGGTGAGATGATCCCATATCTCCTTAGATGTCTTCTTCTCCTCGATGCTTGACAATACTTCATCTGCTAATGCTAAATGAAAGTTTGCCATAGCATTCTCGTCCATTTCGATCCATTTGTTGTCATCTGTGAAATCCACCGGCCTTCACTGATAGCTGCTAGACAACCGTCTTTCCTCAGGATGACCTTTATCTTCAATTTCCACAATGAGAAATTTATCTCATTGAATTTTTCAATATCAAATTTCGTTGTCATAGCTTCTATTACGGATAGCTCTCACTATTTCACTATCATGAATAGTTCTCTGGAACCTTCAAAGAATGAGTAATACCTTCTTACTTTCTTATGTTGGGGGATCCACTTTTTGGTGGCAACCAAAAAGACAATAAGAATATATTACACACTCAAATCTGACTCTGATACCAATTGTTACGGAAGACGACTATCGGATAGAGCAAAATCGCAACTGATAATTTGATAAAATAAAAATGAAGATAAAAGAGACAAAATTTACGTGGAAAACCCCTAAATAATATAGGGTAAAAACCACGGACAACGGTAGAAGAATTTCACTATGAGAAAATAGGAATTACAATTTCTCTCGATCTACCAAGGAGAAAACAATGATAATTCTCTCTTGATAAAAAGGAGAAAATAACTCTCAATAAACTCTCTAAATTCTCTAGTATTGGAAGAAAGCTATAATGCTTTTGGATGGTTTTGAAGCTAAATGAGCTAGGGTATTTATAATTGAAGCTTAAGGACTAATATTGTAAATACCCTAAAGTCTAGGGGGCTAAATTTGATAATTTACCCTTACCAAATTTCAACAATAGCTGCTGCCCCTTTTATTTTTTCCATAATTCGGTGCATCCACCGAAAAGTCACTTGTCCACTTTCTGATTTTTCAATAATTCAAGCATAACATATTTGTGATGATTGCGAGCACATATCAATATAAGATAACCAACCCATAAAACTTGATTAGTAAGATAATTAAATAAACACTAATTGGAAAGACGACATCATATGAAAATCTAAAAAGTGTAATAAAGAAAAAAAGGCTGACGAGAACAAAAGAAAGAAAGAAAGATTGTTATTTGAATTAAATTATTTAAGATTGTAATTAATACAAATTTTTAGTTAACCCACAAGTTTATGGTTACATCGTCCACAATGTAAACACTTATAGATAAAAATTAATTGTTTTCTATAAACGAAGAACTTATTGTAAATGTTAATCACTTAATTGTACTAAAATGTTTTGACTCAATATTCATTACATGTTCTTATAAAAGAAATTCATTAATTTATTTTTAATTATTTTCAATAAATTATTGCTGCTTTTAATTTCTATATAATGGAGATTTCAGTTTCAAACTTTCATAAAACCGTTATTTATTTGAAGTCAACCCAATATTAGCGTAATCACTAGTTAGGGTCAATAGTACTAATTGGGTAGGCAGCAAGATAATTCTTCTATTAAAAAATATGAAAATATAAAATTACAAATGATTTATATATTAATTGGCTACGCAGTGCATTAAGTGTGGCACGATTGAAATAGCCAGGCAAAATACAGTTTGGCCATCATCTGGGTTACGAATTTAAATTGTTGGACATGACTCATTTCATGAATTTTAAAATATGTTAAAAAAATATTAAAAACAATACAACAGACAATTTTTAATACATATATTATTTTATTTAAGATTTTAAATACTTTAATTTTTTATTTACATTATTTTATGGAAAAATTACGTAATAGAAAAAAATTGATTGCCATTATCATAGAATATTTTAACCGGGGTTAGGCAGAGGGAGACGTTTGGTCCATCGCTCCTTCGAAATTTTTAAATTATTTTATGTGTCAGATTTTTTCTATATATTTTTATTGAATATTTGTTTTAATTTCCCTTAAAATTTTAGAAATTTATCCCTTCTTATAATTTTAAGAATATATCACTCTAACATTAAATTTTACGTTCATTCATGAATTTAACTCGATTAATTTAAATATTTATCAAATTACATTTTATTTTCAAAATCTTTTACTAAAAAAATGTTAATTTTGAAGAAAAATAATATATTTGTTTTATTATCCAATCATGATTCTATCCCTGAGTAGGCAACGTGGTGGGCATTGAGTGTTGCTGGTGTCATTTTAACACAAAAATTGAAAGACAGGGATGGGGCACGCCAGGTATACGAAGAAAATCCTAAATGGAACGTATCTGCTGAGTGTCGTTAATAAATGAGGGCAATAAAAGATGGTGGCACTTGTTTCAAACAAGCTAAACTTTGAGACAGTTGGGGGTTGAGCCCTAGTTGGATATGCAATCTCAGTTGATGTCATTCGTCTTCTTCATACAGACTGCTTTCTGTTTGAGCCCTGCACGTAGACATAAATCATAAATGAAGAAAACATGATAAGATATGTCTAATTATTTGTCTTTTTCATGCTCATGTGTCCCTCCACCCAATTTCCCCTTTACAAATTGTACGTGTCTTTCTTCATTCCCTAAATTGTAGGTCGAATTCGCCATTAAAATTGGAAGGGAAAATCCAATTTACATAAAATAATCGGGAACACGAGTAAGACCATAAAGTTATATGATGATTTTCCATAAAATGATTATCATAAAATTATACTATTATTTCTAGTTGGATGTGTTAGATGTTTTTATTATAAATTCAAATTTATTAAAGAAAATAAATTGATTGCGTTGATTATAGATGATTCATCCTTTTGATTTGAACGAAAAACCGTAACGGTTGATTTAATTACAATTAATTGATAATTTTAGTGATGAAGGATAACTAATAAAATGATTCTCTTTAGAAGAGGAGGGAGTTCTAGTTCCCTCTCTTCGTCTTAGTCAAAAGACTTTATAGAATAAGTTGGTGTTAGAGTCAGATATAAAATTATTATAATTTTTTGTAGGTTGACAGATTTATTAGATATGGTCATGTAGCAGTAAATTTAGTTATGGTAAGTCATACGGATATGTAAGAGGTTATATCAAGAGTTTATAGCTTTCAAAAGGGTGCATAGATTTAGAGATAATAATTATTCATTTAACGACTGAGGTAAATTAGTTCATGCAGGAGAGTGGAATTTTTTATTTATTTATGAGGTGCTAAAAGAATATATCATATATCCTATTCTTTTAATTATAATAATTTACCTTAAGAATACGTTTCACTTGCTAATTCGAAGTAGAAAATATAAAGATACCACTAAGTACTATTTGGCGTCATTTTTATCATTAGAGTGGAAAATTAATTAAAGATGTGATCTTATTACTGTTATTATCTTATTTGTTTAATATACTTGAGCTAATAAGTTCTTGGTTCTATTGCCAATTACTTAAAGATGTGATCTTATTACTGTTATCATTAGAATGCAAATACTTAATATTTTGCAAAAATTTAATTTTAAGAAAAATATTTGGCACACTAATAATAGAGTTTTTTTAACTCTACAAAAAAGTTTAAAAAAATCTATCACACGTCATTAATTATTATATAAAAAGTAAAAAAAAATAATATTATAAGAATGGAACCAATGATTGAAATAATTAGATTATGTATCAATCCTCTATAGTTAAGAAATTATTGTTATTTTTTGAGGTATTGGATTCGAAAACCACACATATATATGAATATAAACTTATATATATAGGTTGAGATTCATCTTGCATAATATATAACCTAAAAAGTATTATACTGATTTAAAATTATTGAATGAATGAAAACTGATAGCTGAGATTATCCCCTTCTCTTTTCTTTTCTTTTTTCAAAAAAATTTCTTTATTTTCAATTTTTAATATCAGTCATCAATTTACATTTATCTAATAGTCATAAATTAATATAAAATTTAATAAAATATTATGTAACTTGATCCTACCTCCCCCTCTCTCTCTATATATATATAATTTCCACATCATCCATTTGACTTGCGCGTGTTCGTTACAACTGCATCATTAAGAAAAAAGGCCAACATTAATTAAATCACCTTGAAGAAAGTTGATTTACTAAGCAAGGTAGGAATTAACATTATAAGAACTCAAGAACATCTTTACACAAAAGATATTAAGGCCTATCATTCAGTTTCACAAAAGATGTATAGCCCATCTACATGTTTGGCTGCTTCAGCTGAGCTGCTACGGCAGGTTCAGAAGGCAACCACCTATTTTTGCAATCATTGGCTTAAGATGTGCCTGACCAGATAACCTACATGTGCGGCTGGCAATATTATGAAGATATTCGCAACTTTCATACTCTTGAGACTACTAAAGATATCAATTATTTCTCAAATTTTGGAACTGTTCCAGGATGCTTTTCAACTTATACTAACCAACCAAGAACAAACAAAATAATAGATTGAAAGAATGCATGCCCAACAGACTGTTCGTAGTTTAAAATGAAATTTCAACATACCGATCTTACTGGTTGCTGGAACAGTCAACCGAAAATGGGTATCCTCTGCAGAAACACTACCAGTGTCGGCCAAAAACCAACTGAATAAAAAAGGTGGAGCTAAAAAGTTAGCATTTGCGTTAAATCAAGAAAATAAAAATTTCATATAGATCTGAAGAGTACAACGAAACCATAAGTCTCCAATATCATGCCAATGATAGGCCATCCAATGACAACAAAAAAGAAGCCAACACCAAAAGAAATTGTTCCCTGGATTCAGTATCAATACATCGTACAGAAAAATGAAAGATATGTTTATGATGTCTGCATTTATGCATGCGAGTGTTTGTGTGAGAGAACAAATAAAACCTTAAAATTTTGAGGCTTCGTGAAAAATTGCACGGTGGACTTCAGAACAATGGTTAAGAACACCCCTGATATGAAAAGGATCTGATTTACAGAAAAGTGTTAATCCAGTATGATTCAATGTGGAAAAGAAAAAAAAATGTGCAGAAAGATAATTGAAGTTACCTTACATTTCCCATGCCAAGCAAGCCCTTGTCGAGAAAGAAGATAATTCCCAGAAATGAGAAAAATATGCCAAATCCCGTTAATCCCAGCCCAATTTCTGTTTTTCATAATTTCAAATATTAGTAAATACAAAAGTTGCCTAGTGAACAAAAACCTTGTCTTTTTCCCTCAAAATATTAACGACAAACTAAGCCATATGTCTCCAATAGCTAGCCCGTGTGAACCAAAGCACCCCCATTCACCTCCAAACAATTCAGTCACAACAATCCATGCGTAACAGAACAAACAATTGTTGGGAAATAAAACGAGTAATTTACCTATAACCAGATTAGTGAGAATGCGAAATAAAAGTGGAAAAATAATACCCGAAATTGATAACGGAGTTCAGCCAATTATGCCTACGTCTCCGAACTGCTGCAGATCTTTTACTAAGAGAGAAAATTCACAGGTGTTTATAAAACACTCACTACTCACAAGAAAGCCCTCTAGTATTGGGAGAAAGAAATGATTTTCAATTTTGGGATGATTTTGAAGCTAAATGGGTAAGGGTATTTATAGTTGAAGCTTAAGGACTAATCTTATAAATACCCTAAAGTTCAATGACTCAATTTGGTAATTATCCCTTTACCAATTTCAACAATATTGGATGCCCACTTTGAAAAAAAACTGTCGTCCAATTTGATCAGCCGACCATTTAGAATCATGCAACAATTGTCAACAATCTCCCACATAAAGATTGATTTTAATTTGTCTTCACACCTCGATCAATGCAACAGCATTTCTACTCTTGTTACTGTAACATGCCAATTGAAGCTGAACACAACTTCAGTTTGTCCGTAGTCACCGTCCTGTAAACCCACTTGTTATGGACCACTTTCTCCGTGATTGCCTTGTCCCTCAACGTCTTGGCTCCCTTCGACTCTTGTCCACTAGTCTTTGAAGGATTGTTCCTCACTTGAACATCATCGGCAAGCCCCTGCTTCGACCCTTCTCTTAAAATGGTCTCTGAAGCCATGTTCTATACACGAAAATGCTCGGCAAACTCCTTGGATATGGACAACTCTTCTTACACTTGGCTTCTACTCGCCTTGGCAGAAATGAACCTTATTGAGCCAAATCTCAACGTCTCTTCGATCCTGGGTTCATCTTCTTCTCTGGACAACTCGATCTTGGGCTCATCTATCACCTTGGATGACTCGGCTCCCTTCGGGTAATTTTACAACACTTCTGGCATCTTAAGTTTGCGCCCCCTCATTTGCTCGACTCTTACCCTCGGCTTAGCATCTTTGACACTCGAACTTGTGCCAAGACTGCACACATCTTCCCCAGACTCACCATCTGGTTCATCATTGAGTGATTTTCTCTGCCACTCGAGGAACAACATTCCTCATCCTCTGACTTGCCTTCATCACAGAATCTCTTGCCGCTACCCTCGGCTTTCGGCTTTGCTTTAGAAGTATTGTTTTTCTTGACTCCAAATTTCTTGATAGACTCGGCGGTTGTTAAGGCTTCAGAAAACTCCTTGACTTCCCTTCGCTCCAACACTCTCTTCGCCCATGGCTTCAATCCGAACATGAAGGTGAAGATTCCATATTCTTCAGTCAAACTTGAGACTTTGAGCGTGAGTTTTCTGAATCGACTCACATATTCCTTAAGTGACCCTTTATGCCTGAGACGCCTCAACTTGGACCACACCTCTATATTGGCATACTGTGAGCAGACTTGCTCACTTTGCACCTTCGACTTGACAGCTTTATCTCTTGCTATCGCACCGGGTCCCTTCTTGTGCTCGACTGTTTTGACACCCTTAGTCTTGTCACGTTTTCTTTCGGGTTCGGTTGTTTCAATATCAATAGCCTTGCCTCGTCTCGATCCTTGCTTAGCCGTATTGATCCCATCAATCGGGCCAAGTCTTTTTCCTGGCTTTGTAGCTTTAACACTTGCAACCGCGCCAATTCCCGCTACTTCTCCTTCTTCCATCCTATTCATGATGGCTGTAAGACGACGCTTCTCGGGACATCCCCTAATCAAATGAGGACAATCACAGAAGTAGCACTTCAATTTTTCCTTGCTCCCATTCTTCTTTACACCGGACTTAGCCTTGTCATTCTTTCCCGATAGCTTTCATTGGCTACGAACAGTCAATGGCTCACCTTGGCCATTCGAAGAGCTTTCTCTACCATCTCCCTGCTGCACCTTTTCCTGGTCTCCTCCACTGTTGCCACTATCTCTGGGCATGGGCCTGGACGATACATTGCTACTTGGCTTGTCACTTCCAAGCTCAGTCAGCTTTTCGGCTACAGCTATGGCATCCGAAAGTCTCTGGACATTACCTTGCTCTCCCCCGAGCATTGTCCCTGATCTAAGTCCTTCCAAGAAGGTATTAAGCGCACCCCATTCACTCATTTCTCCCTTGCATATGAGCAACTCCCTTTTGAGCTCATCAATTTCGTTTCTCAAAGCCATCGCTCCCACTCGAATCTGGTTTCTTTTGGATCATTTTTGACAATTCTTGTGAACCACTGTGTATTAGAACACCTTTGTCGACAAATTTGTATATCCGACCAAATTTTACTATTCACAAAATTCACTATTCACGTGAATAGTAACCTCACAGAAAAAATTGACAAATTTCAACCAAAAGCTCTTGATACCAGTTGTTGGGAAATAAAACGAAAACGAATAATTTCCCTATAACCAGATTAGTGAGAATGCGAAATAAAAGCGGAAAAATAATACCCGAAATTGATAACGGAGTTCAGCCAATTATGCCTACGTCTCCGAACTGCTGCAGATCTTTTTCTAAGAGATAAAATTTACAGGTGTTTACAAAACACTCACTACTCACAAGAAAGCTCTCTAGTAATGGGAGAAATAAATGATTTTCGATTTTGGGATGATTTTGAAGCTAAATGGGTAATGGTATTTATAGTTGAAGCTTAATGACTAATCTTATAAATATCTTCAAGTTCAATGACTCAATTTGGTAATTATCCCTTTGCCAATTTCAACAATATTGGTTGCCCACTTTGGGAAAAAAAAAAACTGCCGTCCAATTTGATCAGTCGGCCATCTAGAATCATGCAACAATTGTCAACAACAATAGGTTCAATCTTAAATTATTTACATATGGTAAGACATTATGAAAACTCCATAACCCTAAACTGTTTCGATTAGCAGTCCTATAGAAAACACACATGTAAGAGGGGTTGTCATTTTGTGCATCTTAAACAATACCATCATGAGCAACTCAAACCAAGCATGGTGCACATTCTTTGCGAAGAATAAATGCATACACAAATAAAGTTAACAATTAGAACCATACTCTATTAACTCCCTATCTATTTGAACTTAGAAGAATGTGGTTGGTACAAATCGATCGAAATTCCTTCATAATATAATCATATCAACAGAGATCCACTTGTATTTTCTTTTCGGAGTTCCGCTAGGGTCAATTTATCAGAATTACCAGCTAATATCTGTTTCTTAATAAAGCAGCATAGCATACCAAACAACTCCTAATAACTTACTGAAATATGTGTTAGGGCAATAAATACAAAATTGCCTTGTAAGGAAAGAAATTCGACTGACTTTACCATGTTTCAATCTGAGCTCAAACCAACAAACAATACAAAAAAGAGAAGAGAATGAAATCAGAGAGAAACTAGGGAAAGAGAGATGGTACTCTCACAGTTTATTTTATTCATAGACCATAATATCTCTAAGAGAGGCTCAGCAATTTATACAAGACTGTATGAGTCAGTTAAGAGAAATGGTACACTAACAAACATCCTAACTATCTCCAACTAACCCATAACAGACTGGTTTAAAAACAGTGCAGCACATAAACCAGAAGCCTAACACACCCTCTACCTGCACTTGTTTTGACTCAACACATCTCAAAACAAACAACAACTAATCGCAACAATACTAATAATTACTTATAACATGCCAAAATATATTTAAGCGTCTGAAATAAATTACTACATCAAATCATTCCCAAATTGTCCAGATGTAAAATAACATGAAAACTTGAAACACTTTCCCAACTCAGATGAAGTTCTAAAATTCTACTAACATGCATAATAATAATAATAAAAATTGGCAAGAGTTGTAACCAGTAAAATAAAAATGCCTATAGTAAATGATGAACCAAGTTTAGAAATTTGTATTTCACTAGAATTGCTATGGATTACAAATCGAATCATATTTGAAGTCTTAAACCAATAAAAGTTTCACAAAAGTCACAGATTCGGGCCCTTTAAAAATTATATCTTCTGTCGATTCTAGAAAAGTTATTATGATAAACAATACTTTTCGTTGGTCAAATGATCAAATTGAGTTTTCTTTCCGTCTTAAAACTTTAAATATTTCAATTAACTCTCCTCCTAAAAAAATTAAAAATTCTCATTAAATTTTTATTTTAAAAAATAGTTACACCTCAATTTTTTTAAAAAAATAATTTAAATTTTCAGAAATTTTAATTTTAATTTCTAAAATTTTTAAATAAATCTCCAAATTATGTTGTGAAAATAATCACTGAATTTTCCTCGGTTGAAACTTGATAATCGATGGAGGTTGTGTTAGTTACCTGCCCCACCTACCAACTTGGCATGGATTTGTAGATATCCAGATTGTGGGTTATTTCACTTACAATCAACAACAACAACAACAAAACCCAATTCCCATATATATGGGGTAAGGGGGAGGTAGGGTAATAGGCTGCCCCCAACGCCAGGTTGAGAATAGCTTCCGTGAAAGACCTCCGGCAGTCAGAAAATTAAAAATATAGATAAAATGCAATGCATGTATAAATAATTACATAAATACATAGCTAAAAAAGTATTCATATGCAGTCATTAATATCATATGTGCTTCTGTAATGGGGAGTAATCCCTGCAAAATAATCCATGCGAAAGAATCTCTGCATATAGACAGAAACATAAGACCCGGCTAAATTTAATAGAGGAAACATGACGGGAATGATACACATAAGACAACGATAGCAAGCCCAGGTCTAATCTTTCATAAATACCAATAACAGAAAAGTATAAAAAGTAAAAGTCATGGAAATTACTACAAATGCATTTAAAAGAAGACAAAGATGATACACCCTATAGATGTGACTCACACTACTCGAC